TCCTTTCAACTTCAGTGTGGTGGTGTACAGAGGCCAAATGCCAAAACAGTTATCCTTGTTCCAATATTTCTGGTCCTGACTGTAGCTTTGTTTTGACTGGATTGAACTCAGTGACATGCCGATTTTGTCTCGACAGTTTTCTAGAACAGAATGCTTGAAACATTGGTCTTTTCCGCATGAATATTCATTTGAAGGTAAATATCTTGAAAAGCATTTTTTAAGTTTTGAAGATCAGGAAAGAAAAAGGAGAGGAAAAGGCAAGAAGAGCTGGACTCAACAATACGGAAAAACAAGGATAACAAAGGTAGTGATGAGAGGCCCCTTCACAATGTGGTACTCACTTTTCAGATGAGCTAGGAATCAGGCCGCGCAGCTGTCCATGAAGAGCATCGTGTATATTGCCAGACGAGTAAAGCCCAATTGGAGAGTTATAGGCAGAACTCATTACCTGCCTTTTGTCATCAAGGTTTGCTGCTGCAACAAAAGGCTTGGCCTTTCTGTTATGAGTGGTACCAATAGGCTTGAATTCCTGTGCATAATAGGCAGACAAAATACACAGAGCTACAATGCACACTGAAGCCGAGAGCAGGCAAAACTGACATTGCAGCTAACTATTAATCAAAGGCATTGGTGCCAAGGGACAACAAAGGCCTGGATTTAGTAAACCAGTAAGCAAGCCGTACGGGTTGCTGCCGAAAATGGTACCAGTTGTACACAGACAAGCTTACAGACTTGGCGATCGCTGTTATTGATTTGAGGCTGCATTACAAGCATTTGGCTGCAGAATACGGCAGAACAGCCACAGTTCTTCCTTCCTTCTCCCCGCCAGTAATATCTAGCCATCCAGAAATCAAAAAATAAGGGTTGCTATTGCCCCACATCTTTCTCCACTTCTGCTGGTGATAAACAGTAACATGGACCAGGCATAGGAGGGCAGTGATGTCACATCACAAAAATTTGGATGACTAAAGGTTAGGGGACAGGGGAGAGGAGAAAGGAGGTCACCGTGGTCTTTCTTGGCAGTTGCATTTCTTCCATGATATGTGATTTCTTTGTCTTAGATGAAACCAAACAACCATCTTTTGTATGGGTCTTTGGCCACAAGGTCCCTTTCAATCAATAAAATGCACTTCTAGATAAATACAGTTTAAATGGTATAAATAGTTTAATCAAAGCACAATCCAATCCAAGTGATCCTTTCTTTTGGTCGTAGCACCGCTGTAATTTGGTTAGTTTAGCAAGACAGACACGAGCGCATATTCTGCCTTCTGAATACATTCTAAAAAGTGGTTCTGAGAAGATGCAAAATAAAACTAAGCTGACAAACCCTCTGCATTTAAATCAATCAAGGGCCTTTTGCTTGCACTATCATGCTGAGCTCTAAACATAAATGCAGCATAATTTACTGCTTCCAATCCTAATGAAGCAAACAACAAAATTGCCACAGAAAAAAAGAGTGGCAAGGAGATCTGAAAGAAATAAACAAAACCCTGTTGTGCACTCTGATTTACAACCTATTTAAAATGCACTATTAACTCCCTCAAGTCATTTGTTTTACTAAATTAGTGTTTAAATTGTATGGGCATTTTCGAGATAATTTTTCCATTGCTCCAACTGTTTTAGCTGTGTGCATTCTGTTGATACAAACTACTCAGCTAGAGCATAAAATAGCATATGAGGCGTGTCATTCAGTATCTTGAGAACAAATCTGTAATTTTTTCACCTTCCTTTCAGTCTTTATGGTTGAAAAGGTACTAGTGTTGAGTAAGAGTTCCAGTTACCCAGAAGAGAATTCAAAGATCTGGATAATGGATTTGATCTTCCCTATCAGCAGCAAAAGTAGAATTTTGTACAAGAGTTTATTAATGTAAATCTGTTTGCTTTACAGAAGTTATGAATATTAATTTTTCTTGTTACAGAATTATATTTGACTATTACAACCTATTTCAGAACTTTCAAATAAAATAAAAGTTTAAACATATGCATTGTTAAAGTGGCAAACACCATCCTTTTGAGATCCAGATCAAACTCATCTGCGGTCCCATCTGATGCTTCAAAATATTTATTCCCCTTCCTCTTCCAATGTAAAGGGATGTTTCTCAGAACAGCTTACAAAAAGTATACTGCTCAAATCACTGGAAATTTTGTGATCTTAAATTTGGATGAGCTATGTGGATGATTGATTAAATTTGGATGATCTATGTGGTTGCTAGGAATTGAAAATGATTTGATGGCACATAATCAATCAATCAGTCAAATTTGGATGATAGGTTTTAGAATACAGACAGTCATAGCTTTGGTCTGCAAGATATATATCTTACCTAATCTACAATAGGGAAAGAAATCCTGTAACCCTCTAGATGGATGTCAAGTGCCACTTCTGGATGGATTCACATTCTAGATGGATGTCAAGTGTTAAGTATCACTTCTACCAGACCCAGACAGCATAGTCAATGGTGAGGAATGATAGGACCCAAATACCAACAGAGGATCACTGTTTCTCCACTGGTCTTTTTTGTAAGATTGTTTACAAAATACTTTTAATTAATCCTTGTTGTTAGCATTGCATGCTTTAGAGAACTGATCTGGACATTCAGAAAAATGTTCCTAATGTTCACACTCACAGTTCTCTAACCATGATGCGGGAGGACAACTACCATCCAAAAGAATCCCCTTCAGATGAAACTTAGTTGTTCTTTTTTTTTTTTTTTTTTGGTTTTATAGTGTATTCCTGTGATTCCTCTCAGCATTTCCTGGCAGTACTCTAGTTTGCAGAATAGACTAATTTCATTTATGAAGTAATTAGTGTACAAGTACAATTGTTGTAGCTGGCCCAAAAGAGACAATCAAGACAGGACATCCAAAGTAGCAAACTGCCTAACTCTGATATATAAGCAAAATTGGCTCCACACCTAACTCGACAATCAGATTTCTTTTCAGGTAAGCACGGTCACTCATGAAGTCACCCAGGAGGCAGATAGGAAGTTGCCTATTTGAAAGTTCTCCCACAGGAAAAGATTTCTCTAAACAGAAAGGTGAGAGCCAGTTTGGTATAGCGGTCAAGGCTAGAAACTGGGAGATTGTGAGTTCTAGTTCCACCTGAGGTGCAAAGCCAGCTGGGTGACCTTGGGCCAGTCATTCACTCTCAGCCCTAGGAAGGAGGCAATGGCAAACCACTTCTGAAAAACGTTACCAAGAAGACTGCAGGGACTAGTCCATGTAGTCACCAGGAATCAAAAACTGTCTGGAAGGGACCAAAACAAAACAAAACAGAAGCAAAAACCAGAAAGGTAGCCCTGCAAAACAAAAAAAATACTACCCTAATCTTCTTGTAATGTGTCTTTGTTCAGTGGAGAGGAAGTGCATTAAGCATTCAAGCTTGATCCCACTATTTCTGTTTACATATGTCATTTGCAAGAGCTGTACTACTGGTCTTTTCGGATCATGAAGGTCATCTCTTCTAGCAGCATTTAAGACAATGGGATTACATTGTATTCAGTTGAACAAAATTGGCTGGAAACTGGCCTTCCATCGTAACAGTGGCCTTCATAATATTAACAAACAGAATATTTAAATCTAATTGTCCATCCATCCATTTACAGAGCTTATTCCTATTACATGTGCTTTTTATTTGAAGTGGTTATCCTCCCCCCCCCAAAAAAAATTCAAATCCTACACAGTCGGAAACTATGTTAAATGCAAATAAATTCTGAACAATGTATCCTCAACTATTGTTAATAGTACTGAGAGATACATTACAGAAACAGCATACAGTATAGCAGCATCAATTTTATGTAATATTGTGAGCATGTATGTTGATGCAATGTGAATTTGACCTAATTTTCATTTCTCAAAATATCACCAAATGTGCAGAAAGATAAATTGAAAAAGCAAACAATAGAAAAAAGTGTACACAGTCCAGCTCTTCTGCTTACAACAAAACTCTGAAATATGGCATCTTAACTGACATTTCACTAAGAACCCAAGAATAAATTTATGTAACAAGCACGATAATTGATTTATGGAATCTGGACTTGTTAGGAGCAAAATCAGGCAGGTATATTCTCCCAATGGGATGAACCTTTTTTTGTATTTTAAAATCAGCAGAAAAATATGTTCAAACACCTCCATTGACCTATTTATAACTCATCAAGATAAATGTTTAATATTTAATCAATTAAATATTTAATTTAATATTTAAAGAACTTTCTTAGAATAAATTGTTCAGTTAAAAGTCAATAGCCAGCATTGTATTTTAATAACATATTTTGCCTTGGCAGTAGTTTAGTCATTATTGCATGGTGCCTTAGTAGATAATTCCATTTACTTCAGACTAATTAGACTAAAAACTCCCACCCTTTTGTTAATCAATTCAGTCAATGTCTGTAATTCCAAGGCAATTTTATAGTGCCTTTTCAAAAGTAAGCTATCTGAAGTACTTCCACTCTTCTTCAATCTGGTAGTTCTAGATAAATTTGACTTCAGCTACTATAATTCCTAAGGAGTTTGTTAGATGTGATACTGTGGAAGGCACTATATTTATGGGTGAATCTATCCAGGATTTGCTAGTTTGATTCCTAGATCCATCAGAGTCAAATTTACCTACAGAACATGTGAGGTACTAAGCAGCTAAAATCAAGATCTTAGTCTAGAACAGATATATGAGAGTCATTGTTCCCAAAGGTCTTTAATCATAAAGTCTTGGGATTCACTGGTTAGTGTTGCTGTCATGTTAAACAATCAGTTAGTAGTACAAGTTGGTAAGTAGCAACCAATTAAAAACAGAATGAGAATGTTGGTGATTTAAGAACTACTAGATCTCAGCTGTAAAAATCCAGTCAACCACTAGATGGTAGCAAAGAGATACAGATAACTCTAATGCTTTCCAGTGTCTAATGCCATTTAGTGGATATCTGGATTTTTGCAGCCCAGATGTAGCTTTACTTTAAACCAATTGCTACCTGTGGTTCAGCTTCCAAGTTTATTTTGAATGGATGCGGCTTGCCTTCTTCTGCTACTTGTGGAGACCATAATTTAGTCTCTGCCCTGTTGGATGAAAAATGAAGAATGAATTAGGGAATCCAAAATATTTCACCATTTCTAGCATATCATATGCATTTTACATATTTATGTCATTACAGATTTAGATTGTCTAGACAGTTAACTGGGACTGAATTCAAAGAAACTACTGTCCACATTGACTTATGCTGTTAATTTGTATATTAAATCCCACATTAAAAAGTGGATGTTTGATTATTTTTAAAAACTCTACTAATAGAAAAGAAAAAGAGAGGAAAGGCAAACTGTTCGAGTGTTTATCCGCTACAGTCCAGGACACTAAGCAACATATAGCATAAGAAAGATAAACAAAATTGTGAAAGACTAATTTAGCAATTCTTTTTAAAAATAATCACAAAACAGGAAGGAACTTCATCCCCAAAACAGCTATGTGCTTGGGAAGAATATGTAGAATGGAAAATTTCAAGCAATTAAGGCAATAAATCATATCAAAACAAGAATACATGGAATTTATCTAATGTTACTGTTATGAGGAAGACAACCATTGGTTTGAGGAACCATGCACTTCTGAGTTAATAAGTAAAACTGCCCCAAGTTTGCATCTGTATGGACAGTTTTTGTTTTTCACAGCAGTTCCAGAATTCTTCTGACACGGATGTAATTTCACTGAATACTTATTTTGTCTTCCACTTCGTCTTGTACATTTTAAAAAACTTCCTAGGATTAATTGTACCAGAAAAATTGCAAGATATCCATCATGATACATAGTCACAGAACATGTCGTGATGGGGATGTTCTTTATAATCTGCAAGGGTGAACAAGTTGCCTCATTTTTGTGGTCACTGGAACATAATCATGCCACCAAAATTAGGTGACAAAGAACCCGATAATGGCAATGCTCATTTTTAAAAAAAACTCCAACAAAATCAGTTTATCAGGTTCATGCACTTAGAAAAGGTTTTCAAAAATCAGAACGAAAATCCCAACCATTCCTGTGACCCCATTATACTACAGACCGGATCCTTGCAGCTCTAAACTGACTTTTTGTTTTTTTTAAGTGCAGAGAATTCAAGGTCCAGATTTCTGCATTGTGATTCTGAGCATCTGAGTCACAAGGAATTACCTCTCAATTTTCAGACAGAGCTGATGGGCTGCTGCTTTAATTCTCTCCTGGGCATCATTGTGAGTCATGTTCTCTGTGCTGTGGCCATCAATAGCTATGATGATATCACCAGGACACAGATTGGCTTGTGAAGCTTTGCTTCCTGGTGTTATCTACAAGAAAACCAGAGTAAGTTTTTATGCAATTATTTAGCAGGTATATTTCTTTCTATCTATCTATCTATCTATCTATCTATCTATCTATCTATCTATCTATCTATCTATCTATCTATCTTTTATCCTGCTAAAATAATGTGATACTTGGTAGTTTAATATCTGATTTGATATGATTATGAGAAAGTAATTCCACTGGCTTAGCATATTTTTACAAGGTAAGAATTAGGCAATAAACTTTTCTGCCATTAACACTAGTCTCTTCCATTTCACTCAAATTCCTTTGTCTTAAAGAGATTTCGACCAGTTTAGAATTGGTAATCAGCCATGGTCAGTAGATCCTGAAATGCTTGAAAAGCTCCAGGGGATGCAGAATTCACATTCCAATCAATAGAGGCAGTTAAAGCAAATGCACTGAGCGTGCTCTGAACTGCAGCCACATCTAGGCAAGACGCATGTTACAGAAAAGGTTCTCTCTGATCATCTCCTGGTCACTGTGACCACTGATCCCTCACAATTTGGCGGAGGGGGAAGAAGGGCTTCTTGCATAATTTGGGGTTTCAGCATCTCAGAACCCATATGGCTGGTAAAATTAAACTCTCACCATATGCACCATGCCCAAATAGACAAGGTTAAAAAGGAGTGGGCTTAAATCATCCAGCCACACCTATCATTTTGATGTCATGGATACCACCAGCCCCGACACTCCTGCAAGTAATCCCACCGAGGACACTCAACTGATCTGGAGCAGCTACGGGAAACTGGAACACTGTTTAGCTTGTTCACACATAAGGCTTCATCATCTTGTTAGACTTAAGCTTATGCTAAGCAGAAAAGCCAAACTAGTAAAACTAACCCAACCAGGACCTCAGGAGAATAAGAGTGGTAGAATGAAGGTTAAAGAAACACCAGGCTGTTAAAGGTTAAAGAAACACCAGGCTTGATTCAACAAAATTGTGACTTAGTTATAAACCAAGACCAGTGTTTATTTCTCTCTTGCTTATCACAATGAGAATGTTAAGCAAAGGCATATTAAGCAAACAAAGGCGTTTCAGTCTGGGCTCAGGCCGGGGCATAGCACTGAGACAGCACTGGTCGTGCCTGCTGATGACCTTTGGAGGGCTCAGGATGGGGGTGGTGCAACTGTCCTAGCTCTCCTGGCAGCTTTAGATACCATCAGTCATGGTATCCTTCTGACCAGCTCTGGGGGTTGGGAATGGGAGGCACCATTTGGTGGTGGTTCTCCTCCTTTCTCTGTGGCCAGTTCCAGTCAGTGTTGATGGGCGAGGAGAGGTTGAGCCCAGACCCCTGCAGTGTGGGGTGCCTCAGGGCTTGGGTCTCTCCCCTCCCCTCCCCTCCCTAACATCTACATGAAACTGCTGGGTCAGGTCATCTGACGGCATGAGGTACAGTATCATCAGCACGCTGATGATACCCAGGTATATATTTCTACCCCTGGTCGGGCAGCTGATACTGTTGTGATGCTGTCCAAGTGCTTGGAGGCTGTAAGGGTCTGGATGGGGATGAACCAACTTTGGCTCAACCCTGGCAAGACAGAGTAGCTCTGAGTTTTTGGCCCCACAGGGTCTGGTGACTTGTCATCTTTGACTCTGGATGGGGTTGCACTCCCCCAGACTGAGCTGGTGCACAATTTGGGGGTCCTCCTGGACTCACAGTTCCTGCTTGAGCAGGTGAAAGCTGTGGCTAGGGGGGCCTTTGCACAGATCCATCTTGTGCACCAATTGTGCTCTTTCCTGGACCAGGAGGCCTTGCTCATGGTCACTCATGCCTTAGTTACTTCCCGTTTGGATTACTGAAATGCACTTTACACGGGGCTGCCCTTGAGGACCACTTGAAAGTTACAACTAGTCCAGAATGCAGTGGCGTGCACAATATTGGGTGTTCATAGGTTTGCCTATGTTACACCTCTATTGCATGAGCTGCACTGGCTCCCAGTTTCCTTCTGGGTGCAATTCAAGATGCTGGTTATCACCTTTAAAGCCCTACATGGCACAGGACCTGGTTATTCGCAGGACCGCCTCTCCTGAAGAATATCCGCTCGTCTACTAGATCAGATAGGTTAGGCCTGCTCCAGATCCCTTCCCTGAAATCCTGCCACCTAGTGGGGCCTTGGAAGCATGGCTTTTCCGTGGTTGCCCCTACTTTGTGACACACCCGCCCCCTGGCAATTCAGCAGGCCCCCACCCTTTTAGCCTTTTGGAAGGCCATCACGACCTGGCTTTTTACCAAGGCACTTGGATAGGGTGGACTAGAATAGAAAGAACGGAATGAGGGTAATGGCAGCCTGCTATGGGGCATCCTAAGGGGATGACTTAGGTTAGGGTTTTGGTTTCTGTTTGTTTTACTGTTTTATGGTTGTTTTACACTTATTGGTTCTACTGTTGTCGTGAGCCGCCCAGAGTTGTTTAAGATGGGCGGCCGTATAAATCTTTTAAATAAATAAATAAACAAACGCGTGCCATGGTGTAAATTCACAGGGCCTGCTAAGGCTTAATATGGCTTGTTTGATACTGATTAGTCTGCTATGTGAACCCTGCCATCTCACTATATCAACTGATGCCTTATATCATGAACGAACCATGGCACTGCAGTAAATGTTTTATTACATTCATATAAAACAAATCAAGAGTTAGAGTGATACGTGGGCCCAACCCATGTCTTTATTAGAACTCAGACACAGTTGGATTCAGATTAAACTATGGAATTGCTTTAGTTGGTCCTATTTCTATATACTGTATGTAGGACTGCAGTAGATTAGGGTTTGAGCAGTTGAGCAGTACCACTTGAGCAGTAGATATTGGCTTTATTTCAAGTATTAGCTTGTAGGTATCTAATAATAACATTGATAAGCATTTAAACATTTGTACCCAAATCAACTTGGTGGCCAAATTGTCATTTGTTCCTTCCATTTATATGAACGGAAAAACAACAGATGCTGTGAATGTCTGAAGATCTGCACAGAAACAAAAGGAGTTCTTATTTTGCCCATGATTTTACAAAAAGCCCTAGTCTAACTTTTATGGAGTTTAATCTATTTGTTCCTTCTATATTCTTTTTAGACTGTGCTGAGGGTTTGTTTTTCAAGTTACATGATTTACACTGAAATTCTAAATTCATGCAGTGATTTGTTTGCTGCAGTGCTAGCATAACTTCTGACATTAGTTAAGCTGCATATTGACAAAATGCTTATGCAAGAGAAAATCATGAACAGTACAGAGGGAACAGATTAGTGGTAGAACACAAACTACATGTATAAAAATAATCTAACCCTAATCGAACCACATTTGGCATCAGTGAGAAAATTAGGAGTGCAGGGAAGGAGATGCTGTTGTAATCTTACAAAAACTAGTGTGTAAAAGAATACCTTCTGCTAATTCATGAAACAACATAAAGCCATCTAGATTGATTCAGTAGCCACTGACAGCTTTATTTTTCATGAATGTGTCTAACTCACTTCTAAAGCTGAGCAAATTGTCAACAATTTATCACACTATATCTCATGTTAGTAAATCCTATAGTATATGTGCACTGTGAAGACTTACTTTTCTTGATCCTGAATAATTGGTATTATGCCAGCAAAAAACCTTCTCTAACTCTTTTTTCCATACCTTGCCTCAGCCATGTTCGTTTCTCTCCCCATTTACTTGTCTTTCTGCAAAAAGTTTAAGTGGTTGCAATATCCTTGTAGCTAAATAGCTCCAGCTCTTTGATCATTTTGCTAGGTCTACGGTTATTTTAAGACATAATGACCCAAACTGTACACAGTCTCCCACGGTAATCACACTGTGTTTGTACAAAAGTATTAGGACGTAGCCAACTTTTTTTTTTAAATCAATTTAATTTCCTGATATCAATCCTTAAGCAAAAAATGGGAAGAGAGTAGAACTTTCCATGTGAGTAGAGACTTTCATAAATTGGACCTCTCAACTGCTAAGAGATTTACCTAAGTTCCATGAATACAAACAAAGCTCTCCTACAGACATGCGGCACAAGAATGGTCAGTAGGCAAGAACCATTTCTAGTTTCAGGCCTCTCACAGTCAAGAGAACCCAGAAACTGGACTATGGACTTCAGCAAATCAAGTTACAACATCTCAATTTGGATATTATAGGAAATTACCTACCTATTCCCTGAAGTTACAAGGTTAAAAACGTAGTGTGGGGAAAAGCCTCTACGCTCCTGTGAACACCTGAATGCCTGCTTAGGACCATTCTGCAGCCTCAAGTGAGGTGCTAGAATTTACTCCTAAGCAGGCATTCAGGTGTTAACAGGAGTGTAGAGGCTTTCCCCCACACTACGTTTTAAAAAAATATATTTTGGGAAATCAACTTCTGCTGCAAATTAGTCATTAATTTTTTGATGTGCAGCTTGGGACTAGCTTCTGCCAGGAACCATTACTGCCAGGAACCCATTTGAATCTGTTTCTCTCCCACTCAAAGATAATATTCAATCCCTTGTGCTTTGATCATTCCTTTTTAAAGAGCCTTTAAGAATTCCAAAAATCTTTCTTCTTTTCTGAAGTCAAATATGCATGGAAGCATCTCTGTAATACATTCTGGCAGACAGTACTGTCTACTTAAGTGAGTCATTGCTTGGTTTTTCTGTAACTACAAACTTTTAGGAAGTTCCAAGCCAGATCTGATCTCTAGCAGGGATGGGAAATCTGGTGCCCTCCACATTTTGGACTTCAACACCCATTAGATTTCTTTCTTTCTTTTTTTCCTTTACTACTGCAAGTCCACACATCTTAAAGTTTTTCAGAAGACTTATTAGTAAGTAATGTCCTTTGAACACAATGGTGCTTACTTCCAAGTAAACATCATCGGGTCAATCTGCTAGTCAATTTATTAAAAAGCTTGCACATTCTTAGTGGTAAGAAATGAAGAACCAAAATATTTTCTGGGTAGTTTTGCACTGTGGTAGCTCTAACTTTGGGAGGCTTAACTTCAATTAACTTAGAATGTGGCTTCAGTAAAACG